TTGCGGGTGAAAAACCCGGAATAAAAAGAAAAGATTTAGATCTACAATGTCAAGACCAAGGACGAGAAGAGTATGAACGAAAAGGATAAGGAAATTCCAAAGTTCATGGCAGCAAAATTTTACCTGGCTTGTTCATGACACCAACGCTAACATCATGTATTGTAAAATCTGCCTTGACAGAAATTTGAAAAATGATTCACATGGCGATTCCCCTTTTATTGCGGGGACGTCCAATTTTAAGATAGATGTCGTTAGGCTACATGCATTATGTAAACAACACCAGCGAAATTCTGAACTTATTGCAGCAAAATCTACGCCACTTTCCCAGAGTGTAGCGGCAGCTGGCCTGGGGAAACTGAAGAGGGCCGAATATACTAGACTGGTATCCAAATTCCGATCAGCACACGCCATAGCCAAGCACCATCTGAGTTTCAATTTGTTTAAGACATTTTGCAAACTGGACACGGCCAAATGCCTTGATGTTGGCACTTCTCACACCACTGACAAGTCAGCTGCACAATTTGTGTCTGCTATCACAAACGTGGAAAGAAGAAGGGTAATTCAGAAGATGGAATCATGCAAATTTTTTAGCTTAACTATGGATGGGGCCACCGATTTTTCTGAAGATGATCTTGAGATTATTTATGTGTGGACGTGCAACGATGGAAATATTGATGACATGTTTCTGTTTATTGGCCCAGCCCAATCATCTACCAGTAAAGACATTCACAATATGTTACATGAAGCAGGGCTCAACAAAAAGCATTGCCCGATTGCCCAACTTGCCAGAAAACATATGTTGGGGGTGGGGGGGGTGTTGAGTGCAATGCATATTTATTTAGTTAAGTAATAACATTGCTACAATCCTACATCAACAAAATTCAATTTAATATTGTAATATTGAATAATTGAATGAATATTCAAATATTCAATATTACAATATTGAATAATTGAATGAATATTCTGTGTTTTCAGGTTCACTTCGAGTCTCCCAAGCATTTGCTTGCTGCCAATGCTGCTGTGTGTGTGGTCGGTGGCAAAGGCCCCATTTACAGAATTGTTCAGAAGCTGGGAGAGAAGAACAAAAAACTCATCCAGAAGCTCTTCAATACAGTGTATTTTGTCATCCACAGTGTCAGATAAAGAGACTCATAATTATCTTGAAATTAATGTGATTATTTCTAGTCTGGTGTATATTTTTTTCATAGTTTTTATTTAGTGTAATATGTAGTGCATGATTTGCAATGAATGATGAATATTAGCAATTTTTGAAATGAATGTCATTGAATGATTTCATTCACATTCTATTGATATAATTTTATATAATTTTATATAATTTTTATATCATATAATTTCACCTGCTAAAAATCCTAACATCCATTAATTGCATGTTTATTTCTAGTTTGGTGTACATTTTTTCACAGTTTACTAGTGTATGATGTGCAATGAATGATGAATGTAAGCAATTCTTGAAATGAATGTCATTGAATTATTTCATTCATATTTTATTGATATATTTTTTATGTTATTTAGTTTCAGCTGCAAAAAATTTAATATTTCACAATTATGTAGGATCATGCCGTTGTACATTGTAATAAAGTATTCATTATCCACAGTTTGACTTTTAATTATATGAATTGAAGCCACTGATTGCAACTGTGACAAATAACAACATAAAAATACATAACTGAATTCATTTCATTTAACGTTGATCAAAAGCCTGAAATTCCCGTTAAAAAGGAGGGCAAGTGAAAATTTTTGCCACTTGCCCCCCCAGGGCCAAAAAAGTTAATGTTGAGCCCTGTCAGAAGTCTTAAGAAGTTCCTTCCACTTCAACAGTGAGCAATGTCACTGAAGCTGAGGTATGTCTGTTAATCCCTAATTGATTTCCTCTTTGAGTGATGTACCCCAAAACCACATAATGTGGGTTTTATTACTGGCAGACAAATAAGACAATCTCCTCATATATTCAATAACCTTGTTATAACTGAATTTAATACAAAAGTTTAGTATATGAAACTACAGAGATAGATAATAGAATGGTACCCTTTCTTTTAATTGAAGGTCACAAAAGAATGGAGTGATTGTGAAAACTCTGACAGTGACACGGAAGCTGATGATGATGATGATGATGAAATGTCATACAACCATGTATTTTCTATGCTGTCAATGTTCTGCAGGGAATATTGTAATAAAAACAAAACAAACTGTTGAAAAATAAATTTGGTACAAAGACATCAGCCTTATTCATTATTTTCTTTTAAAACAAAAATTATAAGAGTTGGTCCAGTAAAAGTTGGTTCGGTCCAGTAGGAATTGCAGTCTTGGTGAACCAAATGTCCACCAACTTGTAAATTTATTCGTGTTTTTAGCTCTCTGAATATACCTCAAGTGTATTGAAATCAGTCTTTATCTGTATAGCAGCAGGCAATGAGACCATAAAACCAAATATTTGTGATCAAGAAAGAATGAAAATCACAGATAAAGTAACACCAAGGCTGGGACATTATGGAGTCGTGAACAGTAAGTAAAACATAAACACCCTCCACAAATATTATCATTGCTATATTATACCATACACATTTCATACTCTCAGACTAGTGAACCTTTTGACTAGCGAACCTTTGGAACAGCTGGGCATTTGCATCATCAAACTATCAGACCAATGAACCTTCTGACTATTGAACCTTTTGAACCATTGGATCTTGGCATCATCAAACTATCAGATTTTCCACTTATTGTGTTATCGGTAAAAGTGCACGGCGACGGCGACGACGGCGACGGCGACGACAGACGCAGATGATGGCTATATGTACAGACACATCTGTGTCTGTACATAAAAACACATCAGCAGTGGCTTCGTACAAAACTTGCACAGTTAACTGGAGGACAAATCTAAATCCAGCACCTATTGCCAATTCAAAAATACATTTAAAAGGGAAAAATATCTGGATGTTGTTCAAGATGATGATAAAAGAAAAAGTTGTTTTCATACCAGTGGGCATAAACTCCACACTGAAACAGGCAGCTAACACCACTCCTAATGCACAAACACATCTACATTCCTGCTTTAATTTAATATACTCAGGACATACTGTAGCATCATATCCAAACTGCTAACAATAACAAAACAATGTCATAAAATAGTCCAATCATGCTGATTTTCTAGAGGAATTTAAAACAAAAATATGGTTTATCAGTTATAGGGTAAATAACAAAGGTGTCACAAAGAGCTGACTATTGCAATGACACTGGACAGACACGGTGATCAGAATATAGACAGACTGAATGTCTGTATATAATAAATATGTGATAAAATTTCCATTATGCTACGAATGACCTCACAATAACAGATATCATCTATAACACGTCATATCTGCATTGAAATATATACTCACATTTAAACATTTTCACTGATGTCTTGTTCTCATCAGTGATGGCATATTGTCTACCACAATCTCGCTGTATATGCTACCTCTACTAGTACTGTAACAGTTTCCATGCATATGGGAAAAATTATTATAACACATCAGAACTGAGCTGAAATATCTAAACACTTTTAAACATTTCCATTGTGTCTATTTGTCTTCAGTGATAGAGTATTGTCCAACACAATCTCCTTGCTTTATATACCCTGCCTCTATAGTTTCCATGCATATGGGGGAAATTGATTCTTTGTGTTACCTGGAACCCACATTTGTTGTGTAATTGTACTGTTCCATATAACTGGCTCCACAGGATCTGCCGTGTTTGGAAGTCTTGTTCTGGGTGGTTCTGGCAGCACTCTCTCTCACTCAGTATAAAATTGACCTCTTGGTCTGCCAGCAGCTCTTTACACAATTCCAGAAGTGTATTTGCTAAAAATGTAGATGAAATGAGTGTAACTGTTTGCAATGCAACTGGATCATCTCTGTAATATAGTGCAAACTATTATTAGGAACCATCTAATGATACATTATTCATATATAGGATGCTTTTGTAAAATGCATAAATTCATTTTTGTATCATCATACTTGATTTTTATATCTTGATACTGCTCACATGTAATGGTGATCAAATTAAAATATAAGTATTCATTTTGTGTTTTGTGTGTACAAGATGAATTGGTTCAAATTTTTAACAAATGACAGGTGTGATTAATAAAACAATTAATGACTATAAAAATAACATTTACGTTACAATTAAATCAGTGAAACATTAATTTTATTCATGATAATCCATGCTTTCCTCACTGAAATGATCATTTCACCCCCCCCCCCCTTCCCCCAAAAAATGTTACAATTTTGTGTCTCTATACAAAGGAAAGAGGGGAAACGAATTACATAACAATCCTTACTTGTATATATATATATATAAAAAACAGCCATACATTTTGTCTGGAAAAAGAGACATGACAATGTATAAGTGAAGGAACACTAATTATCTTAACACAAAGAAAAGACAAAAACCTGACAGTCCACCAGAGCCAGTTGGAAAAATATTAAAACTATGGTACACTGCCAAGTGCCCACCTTATATGGTAGACATCATTGTTGTGGTGAATGAACTGTGATAAGTTAAAAATGACCTTTGCCTTTTGGAGGCAGCTGGACACAATTGTGACTGCCGAGACCAGCACATTCTCAGATTGAACACAGTTAAATAAACAGAACTCTGCAAAATCTGTTGAAATGATTGTGAAATTTGCACACAATATGCCTAACAATTGTAAAAATCTGGGATAATTATATCAATTGGCTGTGACTAATTGAAAGACATTTTCTGATGGGTAATTTAGGAGGAGTCACTAAGGAAATTACTAATAAAAATTATGAATCATGACAATTGACATTTCTCTAGCTCAGAGAGACAAAAATATGCTTATTTCTTTCTTTCTCTACAGAGGAAGATTAGGGGACCAATTATATGTTGTCACATGATATGTAAAACAATATCAACCATAAGTTTAGTGTACCACCTGCAAGCAGTCCAGTTACTGTCATGCCAATGGGTCATCCCAGGGAAGTAATGACCACTGCTCCACTTTGGGTCCAATACATTTCAACCCAAATTGACCACATCAAGCAGGCCACTACTGAGACGCTTCACAATTCACAACAACTGTCAAACCATGTGTGTGAACTAGAAAAAAGATAACATTTAGTAAATAAGACATTCAACCACTTGACCACTGATGATCAGAAGCTAATAAAATCAAGTGCTTCAGCCAACCAAAGAACATGAATTTCAGACACTATGTTTAAAGCACATGCCATGAACAACATTTTTTAAAATTAAAATTGAAGTACGCATTTGTATATGTTTTGTGCATGTAAGATTAATGGCTTAAACTAAAGAAATGCATTGTATACAAATGAGATGTGTGGACCAAGAATGCAATTTATGACTACAATGCACATTTCATTTTTTCTAATAAAGAAGCGTGAATATTTATAAAAACACTTGCTTTTCATGTCACATTAAAAATAATTCAAATCCAAAACTTGTGATAATTGGTGTTTCTAGATCTGTCTCTACAGAGGTAAGAAAGAGGACCAATTACACCCACTGTTACTAGAAAAACAAAACCCACTGTTCGTTTTGTGTACAACCTGCAAGAAGTCCAGTTCCCTGTTTACCATGGCTGTCCTGTCTCTGGCTCTTCACAACCCATTCATCCTGAAACTTGCTGTGTCTTGCACAACTGTGTGAGTTTAAGGGATATTCCTGCAGCTGTTATTTCCTGTCTATTTCATATTAACAATACATGTCCCCCCATGTTAAGCCAGGTAAAGTCAGCTCACCTAGAAGACACCATGCTGTATGGAGACTGGAGCTGGAAAAAGAGACAAAAGATTTTATGAATGAAGTGACATAAATTATCTTAATAAAAAGACAGAACTCTGACAGTCCACAAGAGTCAGCAGAATATTTAACCTACAATATACTGACAAATGTCCACCCAATAATATATATGTATCATGAGAGAAGTGAAATATTTTTTTTCAATTTAAAGGAAACACAAAATATGATAGCTGGTTTGTTGATCTACAGGGGAAGAACAGAAGACAAATATCTATTGTAACACAACTTGTAAAACAAAACCAAGAAATAATTTTGTGCACTACCTGCAAGGAGGTGTTTTTGGCATGGTGATGGGTGACGGTGTTTAATGACCACTGCTCCACCTTGGGTTGAATACATATCATCTGTTATGACCAGGTGCTGTGGGTCTCACTTGCCATGTGCTTCTTTCATGCTCATTCCCATTACCACGTCTTCCACCAGGTGGTGGCCTCAGTCAAGACGCGACCAATCAGCAGCCATGTATTGGGTATAACATTCCTCCCAACCTTAATTTTTTCTACAACATATAAACTTAAAGTCTTTGTGAATCATTATCCTTGAATATTCTGAATCCTAATGAATTTTCAGTTTTCATATTGTATAAAGTCACATCTTGAGTGCTATATGCTCAAGTTTTTCAGGACAGCAATCCGCCTTCATCCTGATTAAATATAAATGGTCTCAGATTACTTTTTTCAGGACAGTGATCCGCCTTCATCCTGATTAAATATCAATTATCTCAGATTACTTTTTTCAGGACAGTGATCCGCCTTCATCCTGATTTAATATAAATTAATTCAGATTACTTTTTTCAGGACAGCGATCCGCCTTCATCCTGATTTAATATAAATGGTCTCAGATTACTTTTTTCAGGACAGTGATCCGCCTTCATCCTGATTTAATATAAATGAATTCAGATTACTTTTTTCAGGACAGCGATCTGCCTTCATCCTGATTAAATATAATTTATCTCAGATCACTTTTTTTCAGGACAGCGATCCGCCTTCATCCTGATTAAATATAAATTATCTCAGAATCCTAATGAATTTTCAGTTTTCATATTGTATTATGTCACATCTTGAGTGCTATATGCTCAAGTTTTTCAGGACAGCGATCCGCCTTCATCCTGATTAAATATAAATTACCTCAGATTACTTTTTTTCTCCTCAGGACAGCGATCCGCCTTCATCCTGATTACACATGATTGAAATGTCACTTTAATACATAATCTTTAAAGTAACCTGGCTTTCTGATTGTTCTTTTTGGTCTAGTGTTAATTGCTTCTTCGACTGTTTTTCTCTTGCTGTGGCATCTTCTCAGCAATTGAATTCTCTGTATTTAATGCAATATCATCTAAGTTTGGAATAATCTGTGTGTCTGTTGCTGCAATGTCACTTTTCACTGTAATATATCACTAAGTTGCAATTCACATGCATCATCTTGTCTTCTCATCTCATTTGTGTTTTCTTTCAAATACAAGTCTGCTGGAATTTTCATTACATCATCTACTGTGTTTACGACATTGTTACACAGTTTGAATTGACTTGCGTCTCTGCAGATTATTCTTCTGTCTGTAACTCTTCTGGCAGTAACTTGAGAACCATGTATTTCCATGACAATATAGAAAATCAGTTCATATGGTGTTGAGAGTTTGTTTCTTTTGTTCTGTTTAACTAAAACATAGTCACGTATAATGAGTGTATTCTCCCTCCAAGTTTGATTAGTGTTGGGTCAGTGAGGGTTTTCTCTGCCATTTCATTGAGAATCACTGCATTTTCAGATTTGACCATCCATCTGATCCTCCTCTCTGTACTATCACCACTCGTTTGTGGCCGTGGCTGTCTGGATAGATAACCAATAGAGTCTGCATCATTCTTTCCTGGCTCATATACCACTTCATAGTTAACATCTTGTAAGTCCATCACCCATTTCTCTATTCTCAGTGGTAATTTTGCTTGTGCTTTGTTAAACATGGGTTCTAATGGTTTGTGTGCTGTGATGATCTTGACCTTTGGTGCACCCTGTAGGTATATTCTCATCCTGTTCTTTGTCCATCTTATGGCCAATGCATTCTTTTCAGTTTGTGAATATTTCTTCTCTGTTTCTGTCAGTGCTCTGCTTATGAGCGAAATGGGTTGCAGTCCTTTGTCCATTTCTTGGAACAAAGACACATGACACTGTACAACAACTGTCCAACTGTGTGCATGAGCTGAAAAAAAAGAGAAACATTCATTATTAACATTCAACAGGCCTGTAGCCAGCAATTTCAAAAGTTTTTTTCCCTAGAAAAGTGGACCTTTTACCATGAAACAATTGTGCACCTAAATAAAAATTTACCCAGAGGGAACCTTTTCCCGGCAAAAAGGGCAGTTTGTTTGCATGTCTAAACTGGCAGTGGTCAAACTTGGCAGCTTTCTCCTATTCACAGTTACTTGTTCTTTCAAAAATTTGCTTATATGCATCTGATGTTTTCCCATGACCATAACCAATGACATCAGCGTCACTGAAAAATGCTGGGACAGTCTTTGAAAGTATGTGCTGCACAAAATGGACATCTCAAAACTGATCACGTCCGGTTGCATGGATCAGGGGCGTAACTAGGCATACGCATGGATGCGTGTGTGCGTGCAATTTTTTTTGGCCAACCATGATATTATTGTCTATAAATTCAGTGTTTTTTTTTTATGGAATATAACCAAAATTCCTCTGCGAGTGAAAGTCACCTGTATGTACAAATCTCTGTATCAATTGTATACTCACCATTGTTCTAACACCCCGTCTTGCATACTGATACTTTTACTGAACAGAGGTAAACAATGCCTGTTGCCTTTACAAGTACTATCTTAATTGTCCATCTAACTGAAACTTCCTTTACCTCTTAATAGGAGGGTTAAGTGACCTTCAACTTTACTGTAGCCTTTGTCTTGAGAGTTTCGAACGCACTCTCGCTAATGGTATTTAATTACCTCAGGTAAAAATCTACCTGTGCGTTATTTTCAAAGAGCAGTTCCCGCAGACCCGGTAGATAAAATCTGGATCCCATGTTTAATAAGGAGCTAGAGAAACAAAGGAAGATTTTTCCTGCAAAGCTTCAAAGAAATATGACACGGACTTGACCATGCAGTTTAGCCCTCAAAACTAACAGGGTAGCATGGGCAATTTTCACAAAAAAATAATTAAATTTAGATGTATCAGAGCTCTATCGTGTCATATAATTGGTTGTTTTTTGGGAGCAATGCACCCGCATGTCAGCTGGATGATACTGTTTATAAGTTCAGCCCTTAGTAATTTGGCCATTGAGATGACAATGGATATCATGAAGTGGATTGCAAGAAAGGATAATGATATTGCGACACTCAACTGTTCTTCAGATTTTTTTATGCAAACTCAGGATAACTGCAGTAAACGTGCACGGGATGATGCTAGTGATACAGCAGAAACAGCAGAGAAAGAGCCATTGTCAAAGCAGCAGAAAACTGTTCCAGATGAACCAACTGCATCTACCGGTAGCCCTGACATAGGAAACTTGGAAAGATGAGCCAGCCACTGTCAGACAGTGACAGACTGTAAGTCCTCAGATCAAGGTTTAGACCGTCCAAAGAATGGAAAGCACCTTTAAGAGAGTCAAGTGACAAAAGACAAGAAGTGCTTGCTGACTTATTTGATGACACACAATTCCCACACTTAAGGTATGGTTGTTTGCAGGATGGAATCTACTGTGCTCCCTGTTTTGCGTTTTATAAAGAAAGTGCTGTTATGGTTTCAAAACCATTGACCGACTGGGGAAACGTGGGTAGGATTGTCCCACGTCATCACCAAAGCAATGGACACGGCGCTGCTGTACAAAGGGCTGCAGGGTTTCTTCGCATCTGCAATGGGGTAGAAGACAGTATCACTAACAAATCTATCCCAGGCCTATAAGGAACGCGTCAAACAAAACAGACACATTCTGAGATCCATTGCCAAAACACTGCTGTCATGCACACAACAAAACATAACAAGAAGAGGAAAAACTGACAAATGATCGAATTTTTCCATGTTTCTTCGGCTGTCAGCATCTGAAACTGTGAATCAACACATCGAGAAGGGTCCAAGAAACGCTCAATATACATCACCTCTCACTCAGAATAAATTACTAGATCTGATGGCCAAACAAGTACAAGAAGGCATAATTCAAGAATGCAAAACTGCCCAGTATTTCTCCATCCTGGATGATGAAATGGCAGATGTCAGCAACACAGAGCAAGTCTCCCTTTCTCTCCGCTACGTAGATTCTACATTTCAAGTTTGTCACTTTGGTCAGCACTGAGGCAACCAGCGGAGCTTTAGCAGGTCTTATAAAATCTACCATCATGGACTTGGGTCTCAACCTTGAGAATCTCGTTGGGCAAGGCTACGATGGAGCTGGGAACATGATTGGAAAGGTATGTTTTTACCATTTTTTATATAACTTGGACAAAAGAATCAGCATTTTAAAATATCTGTGCATTCAACTAGATGTGAGATTTTTTTTTTTAACTTAAAAAATCAATCATTTTGTTATTCATTTATTCATTCCCTTATTTATCGATTTGTTAAAGGTGAAGGGTGTTCAAGCAAGGATCCTGCAGGAGTACCCCATGGCTTAATATGTCCATTGCAAGTACCACAACCTAAACCTAGCAATCTGCCACAGTTGCAACATACACCCCATATGCAGCTTGTATACCACAGTTGGGGAGATAATTTAAATAATATTTAAAACTTTAATATATAATAAGTATAGAGGGTTGACAGCTTATGAACATCTCTCCATCTGGATTTTATTCAATCTTTTATTTTGGTCATAAATTCGGGATATCTCTGGGTCAAACACACTTTTGCTAGTCACAATTAAGAATACTTTACAAAATTCTTCTCATGTTTTTTTGTTGGTATTTCAGGTTTTATTCTTCATCAACACATCACATAAGAGACTTGCAGTCTATCAGTCCTTCTGTATAAAGGTCTGTGTGAATTCCGTCTGTATGTTCTTTTTTTATTAATATGGCACAGCCGCACAGCCCACAACACTAAATTCAATGCGGGAATGGTGCAGTCCAGATGCAACACTGTAACGTGTTGTTATACTTGGCTACATATGTATAAATTCCTAACATGCAAAGCCATTTACTTCACTCTAGTTGGAGCTCAAGGGCTATGGCTAAATGGCCAGTTATAAAGATACTGGATAAAACGAAGTGAATGCTGCAAAAATCCCCACAAGTAACTTTTATAGTACTACTATTAGTAGCTCTAAGACAAGTCTCTCATAGAAACCCTACTTCTACTTAACTCTGCTAGTACTTTTTATGTTTTACCTCAGATATTTCCAGGAATCCAGATCTACTGTATAACACTTATAACACAAGGATCACCGGATCCCTTTGTCTATCCTCTACCTCTTGCATCTGCAGCTCATTCTTTTCTCTCTCTCTCTCCCTCTCTCTCTCTCAAAAGCCCCGCCCAACTGTCGCTTTCAATCCCAAGTAAAGACTTCCGGTACCAGATCACTGCAACAAAGTACTCACCCTTTTGTCATCAAGAATGTCTTTGCATGCATTTAAAAGGATGCTGGAATCGTGGAATGTCCTACTGCTTCAGATGAAACTTTAATGGTAACTCATAAATATATCTTGTCCTTGGTATAGCGTTATTTCATAACGTGTAAGATGTTCCCGCTCCGCACTAAG